CGCTCAAGATTGGAAGGACAAGGCAATGATTCAGGTGGATTTTCGTCAATTATTGGAGGTGGTAATTCTTCTCGGAGCTTCTTTATTTTGGAAGAAAAATAAAGAGAAAACTTATTTACTAGGTCGGTGGTACTTTCACACGTTGGGAGTGGGTGTTCTTTGTTTACATGAAATAAACCATCGATGAGGCGGAAAAGCTGGTTCGAGTCCTTCTCCATTATCAATGTGTTGTAGTAGTTCGTTTTTGCAGCATTTATCTCGGCCAAATAATGAGAACAGTGTTCGCGGTAAATCTGGCGGTGAACCTCTAGCTGTGTTGACAGATATTTCCGTTCACACTGACGCTTTTTACGTTTTAACTCTTGCAACGATGAATTAAACCAAGGAGCGTTTGGCCTCAGAGTAGAATTACGAGACACCATAGGAGCATGTTTGTCTAACAGTGCACGCAGAGAAGCATCAATTTGGGTGACAACGTCGTTAACATCATGTAAAGGATGGTCTTCCAGCAAAAGCTSTGTCAGGTCATTGTTCCATTTCTCCATGTCAATGCGGTGGATAAAACGACGGCATACAAGCTTTTTAGTGGCAAGGGGAGCATGGAAATTAAGTCTACAGATGACAGCAGAGTGATCAGACGGCAGGTCGGTGAGGTACTTCATGTTTGATAAAATGTTACTGTCCTGTCTGTCAATAATAAGATCCAACATGTGACCTCGGCGGTGAGTAGGTCGTGAAACATGCTGCTTAAGTCCAGCCGATTCAAGGATGTCCTTGAATTTGGCCGCGGCATGGTCCGAACTGACGTCAATGTGTAGGTTGAAATCCCCGACGATAAGCAGATAGTCAGATACAACTGCCAGTTCCTCAAGCAAAGATGAAAACTGGTCAAAAAACAGAGTATTAGTTACTTTGTTTCTTTTTGATGGCGGTGGTCGATAGATGACAACAAGGTGAATGTTAGAGTTTCCGTTGTTAAGTAGAAGTGTAAGACATTCCATTGTAGATGATGAGGAATCAATGACTTTTTTGATATTAAAACCTTTACGTAGTAGAACTGCTACACCACCACCCTTTCTTGAAGACCTGGAAAGATGTTGAATATCGTAGTCTTGTAATGTATTGATAACTTCAGCGACGGTAGGGATTTTGTCAATGACGTCAGGAAGCCAGGATTCAGTAATTGCTAATATGTCCAGATTATTGCTGATGACTACATCACAAATAGATGCTGATTTTTTGTTAATGGATCGTGCATTCCAGAGGCCGAAAGATATTCTTCGCCTTGGCATATGTGAATTAAAAAAACTCGGCTGTGTTGTTGATCGAGGAATATATTTAAGATTGTTGTTGTTGAAGCGTGAGCGAATTCTAAATGAGGACGAAATACCTCTCAGTTCCGCTCCATTGGGCTTATAGTTGTGTTGCTTAATATAGTTAAGCGATGGAATCGGCATATAAGTATATTCCTTTCTTGAAGAACGACCAGCACGAACGCCACGATAACTTCGGAGTAGACCAAGAGTTTTTAGCCGGTTCCAGACAGAGGAGTCGAGCGGCTGAGTTCTTCGCTGAATCGGCAATGATCCGTGATATTCATGGCGGGAACTTTGAAAGCCTGATTCGCAAACTCCCTTCCAAAAACGGCAACGAGAGAGCAAAAATGATCTTGTGTAGGTTAGCATGATGAACTATGTGCTTATTAAGCTTGCGGTAAGAGGATATATTAGGAAAAGTAAAATTTAAAGTCAAAAATTCGTAAAAATTCAAGAGGTATGTAAATAAGCAGCTATCCAAGCGCTATACATAATTACATAAAACTTAGAATCTAACTTGTGAGAAGATCGAAATTGCATTTACAACTKTGACACGTTTCTACTATATAGACGTTGCTATTGTTGATAAATAATAAAGGAACTAGTTCGTTTACATATGTCTCGGGCGATTTTTGTTGTGACAAAAGGCCCTATGGGGCGTCTCGTCATTATGTCATCGAGTTTGAGTGAARGAGTTGTAACCTTCTTCAACAGCCCTACCCACCCCCCCGGCATGTTTGTATTCAAAAAGCCCTACCCAGCTCCCCCACGCGTTTATATCGGTAACGTAAAGCCAACATAGGTAACAAGGTAAAATTGTCAAGGACGAAATTTGCTCGTGTAAATGGACAACAAGGAAATGTGGCAAGGAAAATTTGTTGACCATTTACACAGGCTTGTTCTTTGTTTACACTAGCAAAGAAACATTGTCAAGGAAAACTTGTGGACCATGTACACGGGCAATTTTTCCTTGTTAAGAAACTTGTCAAGGAAAAATTGCTCGTGTAAACGCCGCTTAACTTAAATCTCTTTAATGTTATGTCTACAGTAATTCATTGTTATATAGTTAAGTCAAGCTTGAYGGGCTGCGTTCCTTTTGTTTTTGAGGTTGCTTGCATTCTTTTGCCATGCAGTATGGCAGATCTAGTAACATGTGACTGTTTCATGCAAAAGGCTTATTGGCTTGATTTCATATGATATTTTTCAGGCTACAACACTATCCACAGTATGCAGAAGATACATGAGCAGTGTAAGTTATACCAATGAAAATGTTCAGGTCTGAATAATGCAAGAACAAACACAGAAACTTGCATGGTTTTCACAAGTGATGCAAGGACGAAAACAGAAGCAAGCACAAGTTGTTGTGCTGTTTTTTTTGTTTTACTAGCATTAACAAGAGCAGATGCAAGAAAAAAAAACAAAAGTTTTGATAGGTCGCACTTGGTGTTGGTGGTAATGCCCTTTGTGCATGCTTCTGTGCTTTACCTTGCATCAGTGGTGAAGAAAACCAGGCTTAATACTTGTACATTAATTTTATTCAAGTTTTACATCAAACATTGATGATATATTTCTGATATGAATGATTTTAGCCAGCAACAACCAAGCTGTTCATAAAWGGGGAATTTCTTGAATCAAAGACTTCAAAGTGGATTGACCTTCACAATCCTGTAAGTTAAATCAGGGGAGGATAGAATTCTTAATGTAATATTTAATAAATGATATCGATATTGATCTATACATGATTGATTTTTACTGAAGTTGGATTAAGTGGTTAAAGGATAGCATTTGATGTATAACACACAGCATACAGTTCACCCAGTTAACTCTGACTTACAAGAATAGAATAGAATAGAAACTTTATTAACGTGTCAAATAACCATCTAGCTGGATGACAAGCATCTTACTAATTAGGGGACACAACATAAAGAAAAGAAGTCGAAACGAAAATATAATTATATATGATAAAATATATAAATGTTTGAAAGGACATCTTTTGGAGTTTTCATTAAGTAGCTGTCACAGCAAGGGTTCCAGCTGCTTTAGTGGAGTWGATTTTAGTAATTTCTTTGGAGTGGGTATTATCTATGTACAAACATATCCATAGCAATGGGGTGGTCATGATATTAAAGTCAAGAGTTAAACTGTTAGTCAGAAAAAAAATTGAGCTAAAGKGAAGTGGTATTCAGAGCACAAAAGTTTTATTGTAGGTGACAGAAGCTACATATTACTGGAAACCTATAGGGACTTATAGGTTTCTGATATTACCMCATGAAAGTGGTTTTCTGAAAACATTTCTCTTATGCTTACAAAATATTKAAGGATATTGATTGGTGTTAGGTAATTATTGTAATATAATATAATACAGGCAACAAATGAAGTTGTAACAAGAGTACCAGAGGCTACTCAGGATGAAATGGAGGCTGCTGTTAATGCTGCTGCAAATGCTTTTCCATCCTGGTCAGAAACGTCCATCTTGGCTCGTCAGCAAGTCATGTTCAAGCTTCAACAACTTATCAAAGAAAATATGGTATGGCTATAGAATATTGTTCTAAGTTTAGAATTAGACAATTATCTTTTTGTCTTATTGAAGTACAAACTAAAGATATTGTACTGTAACTATAGACCATAGATATTGCCCTTTACAGAATACACTGTATGGCTTAATTTTTGCTATTCTGTGGTATTTCAACAGGGAGAACTTGCTAAGAGCATTACCTTAGAACAAGGGAAAACACTTCCTGATGCTGAAGGGGATGTAACTAGAGGCCTACGTAAGTATTCTTGCTTTCTTAATACATGTATCTTGAAAATGCTTATTACTGCTCATATTATATACATGTATGTATTTTAGTTAAACTCTCTATTTTTCAAATACAGAGGTTGTTGAACATGCCTGCTCCATTACCTCTCTCCAAATGGGTGAGACAATGCAGTCAGTAACTAAAGATATGGACACATATTCCTACCGTACTCCACTTGGTGTTTGTGCAGGAATAACTCCGTAAGTTTTACAGTTRTAACACTTGTATTAGGTGACGTGTCTCTCTATTGTTTATAGGATGGGGAAGCAAAAGAGGAGCATTAAAACTTAAGTGTGATCACGTATCCTGTCCTTTATTATGATTTGTTATATAAAATCTGATTGATGGTTTTTTTTCCTAGTTTCAACTTTCCTGCTATGATTCCTTTGTGGGTAAGAACATGTTACTTACAGTAGAGTATAGAGTCAATTTCGTATGAATGGGAAACGTACGGTAGAAATTACCGCACGGTTATTGCACAGTTACCGGACCTGGCCTGCACAATTTTGGTGAACCAATGGGGCACTAGAATTTGGTTACAGTACGATTATGGTTACAGTACAGTACCGTCCGTTTCCCACTCATACGAAATCCGTCCTATTTATTCCTCACACTTATACATGGAGGTGGTTTAGTGTTTTTAAAGTGTTCTTCATGATATCTATCTGGTATATTGCAATTTGTTTCAAATAGATTGATGTTTATTGCATTGTTGAAAATCTATCTTAGCACTCAGACTATTGCTTTGGTAGAAATCCCAATGCAAAAGTAATATCAATATTAAGATAGGGTGAGTCTTCARTGTTAGTTGATACATTGTTGATGGCTTCAATTCTTGATATTGTACAATGATCTGCCTATCGGTCCTCTAATTTTTCCTTTTTTTGGCTTGGTCTGTGTCATTTAAGGCCTATTAGGTGACAAGTGAAGGTATCCTTTAGCAGCATGATTGTGATCAGAAAAAGAATATATACAAATGTAGCCAAGGCTGCTATGATGTTGAAAATGTATATCGTGAATCCGAGCTTTCGCTGTACTACAGCATCATCAGGTGATATTAGGTGAATTTCAATATTATTGAATATTATTTAGATGTTYCCTGTGGCCCTGGTATGTGGCAATACCTATGTTATCAAACCATCAGAGAGAGACCCAGGGGCATGTATGATGCTGGTAAAGATGGCGCAGGATGCTGGAGTACCCGATGGTGTTCTCAATGTTATCCATGGAGCAAGAGATGGTAAGTGAATATTTTTCTGTTTGAATAATATATATAGCTATTTCAAAAAAGGTTGTCGGATAAAATGAAGAATGTCAATTGTTGAACGATTGCATGACCAAAAGTAGCCATGGGTTTTGCTAATTGAAAGGCAATTACAGCTGATTTGTACTGTAAGATAGTCCGTGGTAAACATTGGCTCCATTTAGTCTCCATTTCAATGTGATGTGAATCCAATAGGTGATATTTTGTTTATCAAAACAATGTAACCATAGTCCCTTTCGGTCGTGCAATCTCCCTTCGTCAATCGCTGTTCGCCGTTCTACCCGACAACATTTTTTGATATAGCTGTATGTAATGAAGGAATAGGAATTTATGCAGAATGTAATTTAAGCTAATTATTATGTTCTAGCTGTTAGATTCATTTGTGATGATCCAACCATCAGAGCAATATCTTTTGTTGGGTCCGACCAAGCTGTAAGTATATTGTAATTATTACATGTTTTCTTGAACAACCCAATTGATTGCATTTTTAATTTACAGGGCAAATTTATATATGAACGCGGATCAATGAATGGAAAGCGTGTCCAGAGCAACATGGTAATGTTTTTATTTATTTATTTTTTTTCATAAAATAAACCAGAAACCTATAAGGGACTTGAAACATGTAACACCCATACATTTCTTTAATACCGAGCGTCGGAATATTCAAAGCTCATTAAAAATTCGAAAAAGAACGTTATGACCATAATTGGAAAATTTGGCTGTTAAATAAGATAAGAGATTTAAGGGCCATTCTGGTTGGCTATAGGGTAAATTTAATTGTCCCAAATAAGGAAATGAGATACAAATTAGATTTGAATATTCCAACGGTTGGCAAGGCATTACATGTTTCAAGTCCCTTATAGGTTTCTGAATAAACTTGATGTTTTAGATTTTTGGATCCAACTGCAAAAGCCTGAATGAGCTAATTAATATATTATCTTTTGTCTCGTTTGCAATTTATTAACAGGGAGCCAAGAACCATGGTGTCATCATGCCTGATGCMAGTAAAGAGAGTACAATAAATCAGGTTTGAATATAATACCATTCTAATGATGTTTATGAACAGTGGATGTTCACTTTCAATTGTTTCACTTGCAAATTCAGACATGCTGCAGGTTTAAAAACAAACATGTATAACATTCATACCATGAATACTGAAGAAAACTGTATTTTATAATTATTCCTTGATCCCAACCATCCATTTTCGAAAATCTCCACTATCAAGAGTCAGTTAAGAGTGTTTTTAGAAACCTTCTACCTGTGTGACTACAGTATTTAACTGTATTGATCTCATTAATGTTTAAGATTTTTTCTGCCTCTAGCTTGTAGGTGCTGCTTTTGGTGCAGCAGGTCAGAGATGCATGGCTTTGTCGACTGCCATCTTTGTTGGAGAAACAAAGGAGTGGATTCCTGAGATTGTTGAGAAGGCCAGGCAACTCAAAGTCAATGCAGGTATATGTCCGATATTGTATATGTCTGATATTGTATATGTCAGCAGTATTTAACGCTAGGGACTGAGTGTAAGTCTAAAAATATTAATGTGTCTTTTATTATCAAGGTGATCAACCAGGTACAGATCTTGGTCCAGTTATTTCWCCTCAGTCTAAGAAGAGAATCTGTGACATAGTACAAACTGGAGTTGATCAAGGAGCTAGTGTAAGTCAAACATTTACACACACACACATATTGAAGTGTCAAGATGAATTTTATGTTGCAAAACTGACTTCTGAAACTCTTCTGAATGGAAAGTACAATGTTTCAAGTTCAATCGTTTAAATTTGTATCATAATGCTCTTAGAAAAACGTTTTCATTTTCATTGCAACTTTTTGTACTCATTTCCAGACACTTAATTTCGCGAAATTGGAACAGGCATATTTACCGAGCATTTATCTTCGCCTTTTTGCCAAATAATTTCTTTTATATATGGGAACTAATTTGCAAAACTTTATTTGAAAATCGCGAAATTAAACACTCGCGAAAATTAGTACTAATAGGGTAACTTTTACAATAATATTTTCTGAACGCATAATTTTGAATGGTCAAATGCAGAATTTGATTTACCAGAACCAGTAAAATAGCCTTAAATTTTTCTATTTCAGCTGGATCTTGATGGGCGAGATATTGTTGTCCCAGGTTATGAAAATGGCAACTTTGTTGGGCCGACAGTTCTGTCCAAAGTCAACGTAAGATATTACCGTAATATTTAGATTTTTTCCTGCTGTTGATGTTAAGGTACCCCTTTTCATGACGTTGAAGTTGATTGAGAGCCGAGGAGGAGGTTGATAAGCTTATGGGAAATGAGCTGCCGATGTGGGACATAATTAGTTGTCCTTTTATGTTGCTACCGGATGAGACTCCATGGACGATCCTCGAGTCATGCTTTCCTTGTTTTTCATTCATACGACTCTCCCATTATGCTGTTGTTGGAAATAATAACGACTTACCAGAGCAAAATTATCTAGTCTAAATAGCATCTATTTGTATTTTACAGCCTGACATGACATGTTATACGGAAGAAATCTTTGGGCCTGTCTTAGTCGCCATGGAAGTTGATACCATGGATGAAGTAAGTWATCACCGCTTGAGATCAGTTTTACGGTCTAAAATCAGTCTTCTTTATCTAAAATATCGAAGTAATGTCACAATGGTCYACTTGTCAGTGAGTCCGACTTCGGCTAAAGTTATAAGGACTGGATTTCGAAATTTTTCATTAAACCGTGAAATACATTTGAGCGTTGCACACTTATTAATGTTCATTTTGAAAGCTTTTCCTATCTTTTCGCTGTATGTTAATAATAAAAAGAGGTTGTTTTATTCAACGAGCACGAGGTCAATATGGGAAAATACGAATAAAAGGGCAGTTTTAAGCAATTGTTTCCTTCATGTTGTAGGCCATCGATATTATCAATAAAAATCCTTATGGCAACGGAACAGCTATCTTCACCAACTCTGGTGCCATCGCAAGAAAGTTCCAACAAAAGGCAGACGTAGGACAGGTAATTATGGAGTCAGTTTGTGAAATAAAGTACGATTTTGATTGTCATTGGTGTTAGAGTTGCTGATGGTAAAAATGGAATTAATGATGATGATGATAATGATGATGATGATAATGATGATGGTAGCGATGATGATGAAGATGGTGATGATGATGACAGCGATGATGATGGTGGTGGTAGCGATGATGCTATGATATAATGTAAAATGGTTGTCAATCATAGATTGGTGTCAACGTACCTATCCCTGTACCACTACCATTCTTCTCCTTCACTGGCTCCCGTGGTTCATTCCTTGGAGATGCCCACTTCTATGGGAAACACGTGAGTAGAGTCTAACGAAAGTGCACTTGTTGTCACACTATTGCACAATATATAGCAGCTTTTTAGTTATTTGAGATTGATATTTCAAATGCGAATTAAACGGAAAATGTAATGGATTTCAAGTTACATTGTCGTAGCGAAGCACTGATTGTGGAGATGCTCCCGATTGTATGCCATCGATGTTTAAACTATAAGGTCCATGGCTGGGCTTCCTGTGAGCATGTTTATGAAGAGACTGGAATCTCGTCAGCAAAAAGACTGAGTAATTTGTAGAACTCACTTCTGAAGTGCAGTAAGTAAGTGAAGTAATTATGTTATTTTTTTCCTTCTAGGGTGTCAACTTCTACACAGGAGTAAAGACAATCACTAGTTTATGGAGGGATGAAGATGCCAAGCCACAAAAGCTGCAGGCTGCTTTCCCACAAATCAATAAATAAGCAAATATTCTAAGTCCGAAGTCCACTTAGATGCACAGCTGAAAAGAATGGTAAACGGAATGGTGTTAAATGGAACTGAATGAGTACATGGGTAACCTTTGGGTTATTCGTCCGAAAATAATATATGACTTGAAAAATGTGGCCCTGGTATTTTTTTTACTCGTATGTAATATCTAATTTAATTCATATGCATTAAACTATCGACTTGTCTTATAATTKTCGTCTTAGTTTCTTTTAARTGAAGGTTCATTAGGGCGTGTAAACTGCAGTACGCGCTCATTCAAATACCKTGAACATTCCACGAGGTTYGTCTGAGAATCAGCCTCTTCCTGGTACGTATAATGCAGGAAATAAATGGCTCTTTMCAACGAGATAAATCTTTTATCAACCGGAATGACTTCTCTCTTACTATATCTATGGTATAACTTAGTTTTATAGAGAAAATGTGTTTTGCCTTGAGGGAGTTGTAGATTTGAGTAAATAGAAGGTATGCTGGATAGATTCGCGCAGTTAGAAAGTCTTATTTCAACATAGCAGGTATGTCTTGTTTAATTTACAGATTTTTCATTTAAAGTTAAAAGAAGTGTCTTCTCTGATCTTAATTGCCATCATCTTGTCGCGTCGCCTCTTTTTTCCACCTTTTAAACAACTTTTGCCCCGCCAACCACACGCAAACATGACAGGGTATTACTAGTTATCCAACGGCAACCTTGAATGACCTTGAAAACCTTTCTTTGATAGATCCGTTTTTCGTATTTTAAAGCGACCGTGGAGATCTTTTGAGTAGTTTCCAAACTCTCTCTTCCAATGGGAAATGTAGAAATCTATTATTGTAATTCACATTACTGTAGCACTCTTAACTAAAGAGTATGTATAGATGAATTCTTTTTTAAAAGGTGCTGTAGGCACCCGCTVTCAGATATTTTGAAAGTAACCTGTCCAGTCTGCTAACCGCATAATAGTTTATGCTCGGATCAAAGGACGGGGAGGGGTCATAGAGAAGAATACATGCAACCTTAGTAAAAACAATACGATTCTCTTTGTAATTTACAAGCGATCACTTTTGAAGTCTTCTATACTAGATATCGAAACAGGACCTTTATAGGTAGGTAAGTACTTGTTTCACTAAAATATCAACATTAAACCTTTCCTTGTGAAATATTGAAGTAGTAAAATAGTAAAGTAGTTGAACTTGAACGGGATTCACGATGATGGGTACAAAGTACAATTTCATCGATTGTCACAATATAGGTGGCTTCTTCTATATATTTTGAGCAATTCGTTTTGAGGCATTTCACGAACCAGGCTATAAACAGAACAAGTATTCAGTCAAGTTTTAAACTTTTTAATACCCGGTTGTAATTAGCAAATKTTAATGTATGGCGAGACTTTCTAAGAAAATTCAGCCTCGTTTCCCACGCTTCGTGCTGACACTGAGCTAGTAGTTTCACTTCATTTTTCTGCAGGGGTGCTTAAAGGACTGCAATAGATGACAGTTGGGCGAGTTTCGAAATCTAGTTTTGTTGAATAAACATTTTCCGATATCAAGTCAACACAGGAAATCAAACCGAGTTTAAGTTGCGCTGCACTTAAAATCAACTGAGAGGTGWGTGYCAATCTCAGTTTTCTAATTTCATCTAACAGMAAATTTTCAGWGCGTTTTMTTTTTMTTTTGCGACAAGTGCGCAATGGTTTGCGTTCACAAAATATGTTGACATTGTCATTACGTTTGCATATATACATGAATTCAGTATTTTTTTTCTATTCGTTGTTTCAAATTCAGGATCTATTTTCAACTTTGWAATTTTTCCATGTTTATATTAAAAACCTACTCTTTGACCACATTAGTTTCCATAGTTTCCTGTGTATTGCTCCTTCTATCGCCCCAGGAAAAATTCACTCGTTTAGTTTTGACTGGAAGCCTGACATAAACATTGATAAATTGACTCAGAAAGGGTTAGTCAAGTCCACTTCACAGTCACAAACGGAATGTGTTATACTCCTCCCTATCAAATACAAATGATTCCGAAACACATTTCGTTTCGTAATTCCTTGTGAGCCTCAACAAACTAAGCGTGCATTTTTTCGATATTTAGATAGCAAGATATTGAGCTTGAATTTTTTGTATTTTCCTGCCTCTGCTGTATTGACATGCCGTTCTATCGTTATTACAAAACTGAGGCCTAAAATAGACTCGGCGGCGCGRGTCTAAGCAAATATGTAGGAAACAAAGGGTTCGAGGATTCTTATTAGCTGYTCGCTTCCGAGCTTCCGGAATATTCAGGTTTGTTCTTTGTTTGTATTTATACTTCAAAAACATACATTTTTTTTGTTAGATTTTTTTGCTATCATTGAATAGGGGTGAAGAATGAGACCGTTGGCTTCACTTATACGGTATCCCTTTCATAAAGGCCTATTTTTTTTCACGACACAGCTTGTGTTTTCAACTGACGGCATACAATCTTCCTCGCACGAATATCAAACTATTTTTATGAATCAAAGACATATTTGTAGCCATGTTGTAAGGATAATTCAAACAGCGGATGCAAGCGATAGTCGGTTTTAAGCTATCGTTGTGGCCTTGTCGGCCATCAGATTAATATGTACCAGAATACATATTAGCACTTATAATAATTAGCAAAGGCTTTTAGTATATATAGTTTAAAACACGAGAGAGAGTGTTTTATCAGGTATAAAGCATCCTAATTGCCGTTAAAACATGCTCCAGGGTTAGTTAGTCCGCGTAAGTTAGGCGGACGTTTGCATTTCATAATCATGCGCAGATCAATGACATTTGGTACACGCTCTTCACCCCGCATTGCCCGATTTCATACCGTGGGAGACTGGGTACAAGTCCCTTCATCGCTAGATAAACAGATAAAACTTGCCGTTTATGATAACACGAAATTCAATAGAATTTACAAAGAAATGTATAGGAATTTTTAAAAATTCCGGATGCAACGTCAAACTATTTTTCGAACTCAGTGTTGATAGTTATTCACCATTAGGGACTGTGC